TGAGCAAATATGACATGAGCTTTTTTAATTAATTTATAGTATGAAGAGTTAGTGGTATAACAATTTTATATAATCCTTGTTTCTTTATGGTTAACATATTGTTAATTTTCCTATACTTAAGATTACAAACATTATGCAAAGTTTGATGTCTTCAGTTTTTTCTAGCAATATTAAATTAGTTTGGATATTGAAATGTTGATAAATGGGATTTCTAGTTTTCATATCAGCTAAACATTAATACAATCATTCTTGTATTTTACATTACAATCATACGCAGATAATTTTAAAAACCATCTAAATAGTCTATCTGTGCTATGTTTTATATTCGTAAGCCAAATAAGGGAAGTATGATCACTATATATAGTAAAATGGTTACCATACATATATTAAACTAAACTCAGTGGTGCTACAGCCCTAGTGGGCCATGAGCCCACCAGCGGCCGAGAGGTAAAGACGCTAAACACGGTTCGGTTCGAGGTTTGAACCCCGCGAACGGGCTGGCTGCATGGGCGTTTTCGTGGTTTTCCCGATGTGTAACGTGTATACGAGCCAGTTTCCCTTAGAAGGTCCCCCACGAAGGCATCCCTCCCTTTAGGCAGATAGCCCTCGTGTGCTTTGCCGTAATTGAATAATCCAATCCAATCCTAGTGGGCCATGGCCTGCATTGCCCCGAAATCTGCGTTCCTGACTGTGGGCCCCGGAGTTCATGAGCATATACCGTGCACAAGTGGTCAGTTTGTCGCAGGACACCCATGTTTAGTCCCCAAGCGAACTTGGTACCCATTTTATCGACCCACTCAAGGAATGAAAGGCTGAGCCAAGGATCGAACACCGGATCTGTGGTGTCGCTGCGCAACGCGCTAGACCATTTTGCATAGCAATGAAATTTATCAATAGCACTTGCAATAGCTAAACATTATAGTTCAGCATTAGTATAATTTTTATTATAAGACCTTAATTTTCGAGAATGGAAAGCTATAGCTTTTAAATTACGATCTGGGTGTTCTTCATTTAAAACCGCACCAACAGCTTCTTTAGAAGCGTCTAAAAATACATGATATGAATATTATGGAACAGAGAGTTAAAAGAAGTCTGGAAATAAGTCCCTTTTTTTTTTTTTTTTTTTTTTTTTTAATTTTGAAAGACTGTTTGGCATTCAGGTGTATTTATATGAAGTATTTTTTGAAGCAAATTTTTGGACCAGCTCTTTTTCTTGCATAATTTGAAATAAATTAATAATAAACATTAATACTTCCAAAAAATTGTTTTTTTAAAAACTTTAGGGGATTGTAATTTTTTAATAAATTCAACGTTTCCATTACTGACTCAGTATTCCAACTTGAACTTCATATCTTAAATAATTTATTTTTTCTTTACGAAAGAGTGCACTTTAAAGGTTTTAATTTTATATTTTCTTAATCAGATACATCAAATATTACATTAAGATGGTCTAAATCTTCGTAATTTTGAAAAATAATATGGTTTTATTAAAATAATGTAAAGCTAATTGATTTTGAGATTTGATAAAATTCGTTAAAGGGCTCTTTGAAAATAGCTGAGGAATTTTTCCAAACAGAAATTTTCGAAATCAATAACATTACTTTCGGATGTTCATTATAATCCATATCATATTTACGTTTTGAAAATATGTGACTATAATCATATAATAATATAATAATTCTTTCAATTGGTCATTTTTGCAGGCATTTTCGCACTCATTATTTACAATGGTATTAAAACAGTCCATTTAATTTTAATTATTTTCAATTAAATATAAGAAATTATCCTTAAAAGGATTATTTAATTGTGCATCTTCACTCGCAATCCTCTTAAATTGATATGCCTCATAATTAGTAAAATTCATTTGCAGTTTAAACAAAGAAACACAAGATGAAGACAACAATAAATAACTTAAAGGAGAATAATACCATATTTTTACATAATCTTCCAATTTTGAATGACAATTTATTAATTTTATGACAGAAAGACTTCAAGATAAAGAAAATAATTCTCTGTTTTTCGAGAGTTTCAAAATTATTAATTCAACTTAAGAATTTTTATAGCTTACGTTAACCTGATTATCTGTATCTGATAGCAGGAAAGTTAATATTTTCTACCTTTACATTTATCTTTAAGGTGAAGTTTGATTTTGAAAGGATGAGGTGAATTGCAGTTTAATACTGGATACTGTGCATTCAGATATCTCAGTGGTAGGTCTGAACATTTCTTCAGAGTGGATTTTGAGGCAACTATAAGATCCAGGGTAGAATGGTCTTGTAGTATTATATCTTGGATAATTAAAATATGGATAAGGATTCTGCCTAGGAACAATACATTTGACCGCATTAATGACACTTAATAGCAGTTGAGTTGAACTTGAAGCTAGAAACAACTTTCTTGCTAAGGAAATCCAATTCTAAAGGAAGCTTATATTTCGAACAGACAGTAGCAAACGGCAATCTTTGTGTTAACCACTCAGTAAGAGTTTTATCATTTAAATGTAATGGAGAACCGAATTAAAATTTTTGACGAAAACAATTATCAGTATCGCTAAAACTGTTGTATGTAACCGAAACAAAATCATCAAATATAATATTTTCTGAACTAGAAAAGTAAGTTTAAAATTTTCTTTTAATGCAATTCAGTGTTCAATTTCGACACATTCGCGGATATAAAATTGCAAGGCATCCGCTTTTAAAACAATCTGGGAATATAATTACTTATATTTCTCAGAAATACATTTTGCAATACATCGTTTTTCAAAAAACACAAAATATTTGTTTACACCATTACCGTTTATTAATCAAATACAGGACAGTTAAATATACGTTTATCTAAGGAAATAATTTCGGATTTTAATTCAGGCATTTTTCAGATTTTTGGACCTTGTATTCATTTATATATTTTTAAAGAATCAATAAGTTTCTTTATTTAGTCATATAAAATGGCGTTAAAAGCGTTTTCAGTTAATTATAAAATAACATTAAAATTACTCATGAAACTTATAAATTCAAAATTGTCTAAAATAAATAATGAGTTATTAAGTTTTTCACACTTTTTTAAACAAATTTCAGCACTAATTTTAGAGGGCAAATGTAGTGATTAATTCAAAGCATAATTTTCATTTTTTACGCCAAAAACAAACTTGGTTTAATTTATTCGATTAGATTTAATTCAAGAACGTGTTGTTTTAACATGACAACCACATTTACAAACGGAAGTAATTAAATTTCTCGCTTAACACACAACACAGATTAACCTTGACTTAATTCGAAAAATTTTTCCTATCTTTTTTGAAGTGAACTTGCTTCGAGTTGCAGTCGTTAATGCTACATTTCACTTCACTTTTGGACTTGTAGATATTTTATCCATTGGAGTTTTACGAAGCAGGTAAAAAAATCCTGTCGACTCCTAACTGTAATAATTCCGTAGATAATTTGAGATTCTTTGCTGCATATATGGAATGACGACTCCTTCTGCTCACTAGGCAAGAACTGAAGCTTCATTGATTCATGAGGAAGAACCAAAAATAGCAGATGCGGTCGTAGACCATTCATAATTTACTGATGGGCATTCTTCAGGTACATATTCTCAATCACATATAATTTTGGGTGCGATATGCGCTCCATAAATTGTATAGCTTATCACATCTTTATACAATACACGAAACAGAGCAATGAGATGACACTTGCTGACAGAGCAAGAGGAAAGCGGGAAGTAAGTGAGCATTTAAAGGCAGCAAGGATTATAGTGTCGGTTCTTCGCTAAAATTTTGTTCTGTGATTGGATAAAAAATATCCGAAATGCGACGTAATTACATAAGCTGGCATGATAGATTGATTGAGATTAAGTACTTTGTTAGGAAAGAAAGGTGAAGTAGCCAAATTAAGTATTAGGTACGAAAGGGACTATTGCTAAATTAAAGCTAGTAGTTCTTCTTATTATAGTATATTTGTACTAATGTTTGTTTAGTAATACAAAACACTAAATAGTAAATAGTTGTCAATAGACACTGAAAACAATTATTTCTTAGTCATAACCAAAAAAAACTGCTTCGAAGACATCTGGTTTGATGGCCAATTTTTTTTTTTTTTTTTATTTTGAACAGAAACAAGTCTTCAGGAATGCATTTTTTGATTAATTGGTACAACCAAACGCGATACACAAATAAGGTTACACAAGTTCCATGCTCCGAGCTTGCATTTCAGATAGTAGGAAACGAAGCCCAGGGAAAAAGACGAGACCTACATAGGCAGGGCAAGTAGCAAAAAAGCTACTTTATAACTAACTAGCATTATTTATAATCTCAGAACTCTTTGTTTTAATCCTGAGCAGCGAATAGGCAAATATATACAGAAATGCAGTTAATGCAGGAAAAATGCACATGACTTGAAGGGGATTCTTAATTTCTGCTTTAATTGAAAATTAGGAAATTAAAGGTGAATTGCCAATTTGAAAATATATATTATGAAATATGTATAAAAATTAAAAAATATGTATAATTTAAAATACTTAAAATTAATTAATAATGTAAACTACTTTACATTTTTTACTAATATGTTCTGATTTAATTATTTTAAATTTAAAGGATTCTTTTAAATTATTTTTTTGCAATTAATTCAGTTAAAAATTGTTCCAGGTTAAGTTAAGAAACATTGCTCTATTTCTTCCAGTAGCAGATAATAAATCAAAAGGAAATATAAGTAATTATTTAATATCATGTGAATTTTGTGTACTAATTTACTTTCCTTTCCTTTTTTTTTCCAAGTTATTAATTCCATTGTATTTAATTTGCATTTCCTGCTAGAAAATTTGCCAGATTTAGTTAATTCTGATTATTTTATCTCTTTCGCAATTAATAAATGTCGCAGCATTTTGTACAACATTAAATGTATTTATTGAATAAATATTGCTCTTTTATATACATGTATGTTTAACAAATTTATAAGCAAATATTTAGAAAACTATCAGATGCAAATTAAAGTACTTTTCATTCACAGATTGGTTGTGTATGTCATTATGCACAGTATTTGTTGGTATGGCCACATTTTGCAAAGAACAAGGAATAACAGTCGTCGGAGTGTGCTGTGTATATGAAATTTTCATAGTCCATCGAGTAATATTATATTTGATTTTCTTCAGATAAGTATTTGTCATATTTATATGTAAATATTATCCTTTTTTGAAAACTAATTTAGAAACATGGTTACAGTAGTTTAGCAAGTTGTCGGAGTAATCACCATTATTGCTTTACAATGTAAAATCAGTTATTAGTTATGGAGTACTTCATCTTTGCGATTCGAGAATAGATTCGTTTTAGTTAAATTTAAAATATCTAAAATACCACAAAAGAGTGCACTTAAAATAACTAAACGAGTACATCTGATTTAAACTTAAACTTGATAATTCTGGTTTAGGACACGTTCATATAAATAATATATTTCTATAAAGAACGTACCGGATAAAAATGAAACTACGACTTTAGTTAATTATGAACCAATGTAAATAGATAAGCAATTTATCACGCTGCCAGTGTAGAAAGTTTTATGCCTTTCAAAACATTAAAAGTTGTAGGGAAATTATAGAAATGTTTGTAAAGCTGCATCTGATTTAACGAAACCGATTAAGCATAAAACAGACTGCTTTTATAATTTTGATGTCAAAAGAAGCAAAATTGCTATTCTTAACAATTGGAAAAAGTCAAATGTAGAAGGCAACAAAATATTTCTGAGAAATAATCAAACACATTATTAAAACAGTTTCACAGTGAAACTGGGCATTTCTGCTCTTAAGTGTCCCCGGAAATTGTAGCTATGACTAATCGAATTAGCAAAGATAATATTATGGAAAGCAGTAATTTATCAGCTTATTAGCTTTTCCCCATAGCATAAAAATGATCAAGAGTTTGAAGCAGATATACTATCTTAAAACTTTGTACGAATAGATTCCATCTAGAAGCAGACCGACGCTTATCGCACTTTATATTTGATTCTAATCTTAGTGGGCTAACTAAAGACAAACTAAGAGCAAAGCTTTAATACCCTTATGAACAAAGCCTTCAGGCAAAATTTGCTAAAACTGTAGTAATATGGCATGCTATAGAACAGCAAAGCAATGCTTTTAAACGAGTCTTTTCCGGGGAACTGTCAGAAGCTCATCTATTTAAATCAAAGCATCTAAGCAACGTTTGATTCCTCTCATCATACAACATTAACAAAATGAAGATATATTGTTTGAGCCGTATTCAGCTATCAGTTATATTTTATGAAAAATGTTGTCAACTATTTGAACAACCAGCAAACTCACTATTTTTTTGCCTAAATGGATTAATACCTTTAACATATTTCAAGCTAGTGGTATTGAAATTTTTTGAAGTATTATTAAAATTAAGGAGTCCAATGGAAAAAAAGAAGCTTAAAAATTTGACTGAATTTTAAAAAAAATTACCTTACACTGTTAAAATCAATTTCCAAAGTAATTTAAGCGACATAGCAAATTTTCGTAAGATACGACCAAAGGAATTTACGCTATAGCTTAATTGTGCATATAAAAAAGTCTGACGTGACCAGTATATAACTATGAGCTTTACATAAACTATCATTTCCTGTTGATAGATTGTAAACAAATTCTATTTTTTTGATAAATTTTTTAGTTCATTGTTAAATATAAATTTATTTTTCTTTTCAGGGATACAATCAATAATGATAACTATTTCAGCTCACTGAACATCTGTTCTCATACTTTGATTTGAAAATATCAATTCTTCGTAGTATATGTTCTGATTATACAGTGTTTCGGATTCACAAATAAATGACCTTCACAAAAAGTTTAAAAACAACATATGTGTAAAATTTTCGATAGACTGTTGAATGTTGCCATATATTTTTTCAGTCTTTTCTCAGTTTACGATATAAGTGTCCAGTTTTCTTAATAGAATCATCAACTTTTTTTTTTTTTTTTTTTGTCATTTGAGCTTTATTTGTTGAATATCCCTTTCGACGCTTACGTCACATAAAATTCATCACCAAAATCACAAAAACGTTAAACTCAGCATGTTTTTACAATTCCCAATAGAATGTTAATTGCTGCCATACCTTTTTTATATTCTCTATATTTTTTATATTTATTACATCATTTCTTTAAAAATAATATTAGAGATTTGGTGGCAGTATTCTTTTATGTGAAAAGTGATCCGACACAAAAAGTGAAACGGATACAAAATTAAGGATTAAGGATAGCACATTTAATTTTTTATAACGAGAGCTCGTTTTCGTAATAAGCTTAGTACTGTTGCATTTACAATGATTCCAAGAATACATTTATTGCTTGAAATGCAATGTGCTATTCTCAGTCACATACGTTTTTAACGCACAATTTGAGAGGTTTTAAGTTTTTTCATAATATATTTTTACCCTAAAATTAATTTAGGTTTTTCAAGCAAAATTTCTCCTTCGGTTTATCAATTTTAGCCGAAATCTAATGTGTAATTTCCATTGATATAAAGGTCTTAAATACTAAAATCGAAATGTTTTGAATGATATTTTAATATAGCGTTTCATTAAAAACTGCTTTAAGCTTCAAGTAAAATACCATTTGCCCTTACCCATTAAAGACTGTTCTGGGATTTCTGTAAGGAACCATTTCCGATTGTCCAACTTTACCGCAAATCCAATAAACTATTTATATGAATATAGAAAGCTTAAATACGGGAAAGGAAAATTTTGGAGAGTTTCTATAAGAGCTCCCGTGGACGTAAACACCGTCACACACATACAGACACAGAGACAGACATCAATGAGTAAAAACGTATTGTGGGGCCCTAATTTGTATTTACTCTCAAAAAACTCAATATCGAGTTTCTGGACCGAAAGCATTACTTCCTTTATATATATATATATACTGGCAGGAGGTAAAAGAAAGAAAGTAAATCTATATAAACTAGAGTTTTAATTTAAATATCTCATATTCATTTCATTCTTATTCCAAAAGCTGTTTCTTCCTCATAATTATATGAATTAATTAATGAATTACATTAATTATTATTAATAAATACTAATAATGAATTATTGAATTCATATAATTAATATTAATGAATAATTAATTAATCCGCATGATTAATGAATCCTCATATTTAAACTTATAATTCAGTTTTCTTCTTAAGTCAGAATTGAAATATAAAGAAATTTTATCGTATTGGAAGAAATTAAGTGCATTTGTCAACAAATCACTTATTTCTATTGTAAATACTTTATTATTTTGGCAATAAATGTTCGTTATATTATTTACATTGGTATATGTTATTTATCTGTGGTATTTATTATTATGCACCTAATATATATTAATTATATCTTATATCCATTATTTTCATTTGCTAGTCATTTTACATGTTGCACTTTTTTTAATATTTATTTCCTTATACATACATTAGAATGAATTCATATTGCTTATAATTTACCAATTTATAAATCCTGGAGTAATGTTTATCTGTTGAGAAACATTATTCCAGCTTTTATATTTACTGGACAACTCCAGCGCTGCTCCAGCTATATGCTGAAATAACTATGATAACGAAATTAACTATGATTTCAGACTTTTGTACTTACGGTTACCAATTTTAGAGATTAATGCTGCTTATTAGTTGAATTTGTTAAATGTCCTATTGCATCTTTATAAAAGGTAAATTGCTTTCTCCAAAAAATATTGACAACTAATGCATTATTTACAAAAACAAGAACCAAGATAAATCCAATGAAACCAAGATCTGATATTTTTAATCTAACTTCAAATATGAAATAAAGCTGCAGTATAAGAAGTTAACTGTGAAACTGAATTGTTTTTCAGTCACTGTGAGAGTGCTGGTGGATTTTATTTGATGCCAATGCGGTTAAAGAATACAGCTTTGTATTTCATAGGAGTTTTCACAAAGTAATCTGAAGCTGTTGCGTATTTAATAATAAGATAGTTGGATCTTTATTCAAATATTTGAATATTATTTTTTGGAATACTAGTTCAATTTAATGTTTAGACATTACACAAAATTTTAACTATACGATTTAAGTGAATTTTGATTATTTTTATCATCTACTATAGTTTATAGGTTTGGAATTTTAATAACTGCAACCATTAATTTACATTGATACAGAAACAGATGAAATTTTTGCTGTCCTTTGATGTAACTACCAGCGTTGTGTCCAACCTATTGTCATCTTTAGGGAAGTCATAGCAATATCTGTTTTCTTAATGGTATGAATAAAGTTGCCTATTGCTCGAAAACTCACAGAAACTTTTTGGATACAAAAGCTTCAAACTGGTTACTTCATTTTAGAGAATAAGTATAGTTACAGAAACCTATGTCCAGGAAGTATGATGGATGGTTTTGAAATCCTGAATCCCATCGAGCTGATCAAGCAGTAAGAGATTACGTTATATGCCGTAGCATTTTCCTATCATATGATTATGGTGTTCTGAAGAAAGTGTCACAATTTCGTTTTCAGTGCTGAATGGAGGATAACTTTCCAAAACGTAAAAAGAAGCTGCACATCGATTGTTTATCGATGAGGAATGTCTGTCCTCTAGGTACGTCATCATTACCACGGATTAGAATCATCATAACTCTTTATACTCCTGAACTTCTGTTGAACTTATCATCTTTTTAACATCATCGTTCCGTAATGATGACACTTTTCCGAATGATTTTTGGTTTTGGCTCATATACACTATTTTACAAAAAAAAATCGAAGCACGACGAAGGAAGTGGCTATTTATGATGAATATGTGTATAGCTCATACACAGATAATGAAAATGATTAAAAAATCAAGGTCATAGTACCTGTCCACTGCTCGCTATCACCCATTGATTGTTCAAATTAGTAGTTGGTCAGCAATTTGCGACCACGTTAAATGCGACCACGTTCGAAGTCGTTTAGTTGTCTGTAAGGTATTAGATATCGTCGTAATGGCATCTTTGGTTTCTTCTTTACGTAATTAAAATGGCAGCAACTAAAAAATTAAATTTTTCGCTTCTATTAAATGGTTATATACTCTGCGAATTTTGCACTAGAAATGCGCGCTGTGATCGCAATTCCAATTCATTTGCCTTGAAACTTTGATCATATGCATGTTCGATCAAGATCTTTGTGTGTACCAAATTTCGTCACGATCGCAAAAGTTCTTCTTGGTGCTTCGATGTTTTTGCAAAAAAAGTGTAATTTGGCCTCTGCTTTATTTAAGATAAAGATTGCCGTAGTGAAGTCTCTATTTTGTCTGAAAGCACCTTGAATGGGTTTGAGCAACATCTTATTTATGCCATTTCCGTATTCTCAATAACTTCGTTATTCCTTAAAAACATCAAGATTACGCATCTTTGGACTGCCAATTCAGACAAGACCGTCACGACGCTTATGCGTAGCTTTGGAAAGGAGAATCCATTTGCTGTAAAACAGGTTAGGTATGAATAAGAAGCACCTATTGTGGCTCATAGAGTGCGCACAAATGTGTTTCAATTATTAAAGTTTCAAGCCACGTTTATTAGTATTAATGATTTATTTCTTCTACACTCATGTCCATAAATTAAGGATAATGCTAAATCAGGCAAAGGAAGAGTTAGAAGCAAAACAAATTTTACTTATTTGTAAAGCTTATTTATTAAACAAAAGGTAACGAGCAAAAAAAGATGCTATATGTTTGATATATTAAAACAAATTAGCGATTTTTTCTCCCTGGAGCAAATTACAAAAAAAAAAAAAAAAAAAAACCTATTTACAAAAAACCAATATTACATGGTTGGTATGATTGTTAATACATTGTATGTCTCCCAGACGATGCAATACAGTCCGTACAAACGCCTAGGCATGCTGAGTATCAAATTATCGATCTGATCTTGGGGGATATTACACCACTCAAAAAGCAATGCTCTCCGAAGTTCCGGTAGACATGTAGGAGGAGGTTGACGGGCTGCAACTCGTCGGCCAAGCATGTCCCACACGTGCTCTACTGGATTCAAGTCCGGTGAGAATGCTGGCCAGTCCATACGGGTGATATCCTCCGATTGAAGGCATTCGCTTACGATGTTTGCACGGTGAGGACGGGCGTTGTCATCCATAAACACAAATTGTGCGCCCATGGCGCCCCGAAACAAACGTACATGTTGTTCCAGAATGACGTCCCGATAGATATGGCTTGTCATGGTTCCAATTTGAACATGAGGTCAGTTCTGGAACCCAGAATAATTCCACCCCAAACGAGCACTCCTACACCACCGTAACGGTGTCGTTCAATGATGTTTCCTTGGTTCTAACGGGTACCTGGAGCTCTCCATATGAAAGTCCGGCGAGAATCAGACTGCAAGCTAAACCTGGACTCGTCGGAAAACATCACACAAGCCCACTGTTGCGGTGTCCACAATGCATGCTCTCTACTCCAGGCTAACCGCAGGCGACAGTGAGTTGCAGTAAGTGGAACGCATCTGACAGGTCTACGAGCATATAGAACCAATCTGCCCTAAGCGTCTGTACACGGTCTGCCTTGAAATTGTCGTACCAGTGGCTGAAGAGAGCTGACGAGACAGGTCTGAGGCTGTGCTCCACCTGTTTCTTTTGGCAGTAACTGCCAAATACCGGTCCTCATTCGGCGTTGTAACTCTGGGGCGGCCTGTGCTGTAACGTCTACTCACATTACCATCATCTTGGAATCGTTGCCAAAGCCTGGAGATGACATTCTGCGCAATTCCAAGTTCGTCTGATACTTCCAGTTGGGTACGCCCACATTCCAGACGGCCGATAATTCTACCATGTAAAAAATCATCCACATGCGTCCTTTGTGTCATAACTATTCGGTTATTGCACTGAAATGCTTATAATGCGCCTGCGAACAATTTTATTTCTTTGCCTGTATTCCTTATATATCACTCTCTTACACTCTTGTCATTGTGACGTACCATCGGTGTCATCTGATTACTTCCTGAAATTTGCATATGATTCTTGAAGATGTGTGTAGTGATTTTACAGGTGATATATTTATTTTAGAGTTCGATTTCCGCGTGACTCCAAATTATCCTTAATTTATGGACATGAGTGTAATATAACCATTTTTCATTTTGACTTTTCTTGCAAATTTATTTTTACGTCTTGATGAATTATAACTATTAGAGTCTTAACTGCATTCTTTGAATATGACTTCGTTTAAATTTCATTATTTATGAGCTAATTATTTATAATAAGCTAAATCTTCCTGTATTTAAGCCTTTTACAAGTTCTTGAGACTTTGGACCTGCCATTTAATTTCATCATAAACGCTAAGTTTTGTTAAAATACACTGCTGGCCACCGTAAATGCAACACCCTGATGGAAGCATGCAAATACCATGAAATTTACAACATGCATTAGTGGAGGTGAGATATGCAAATGAAATGAATTTCAGTGCAGACGCTCATGACGCGACAGAAAATTGTGGCGCCACTTCGAAGCGCTATTTAAGGCTTAGAGTTTTCGACGATTTCAAGTTCGGCAGTTGCGTTTTTCTTGTGGTTTTTTTCAAAAAAGCGATCAAATATGTCTCGTAGTAAACTGCGATCATCGTTTGATCAAGTATCGGAGTTCGCCAGAGGAAGGATAGTCGCCTACTGAGAGTGTGGATTATCTTTTATGAAAATCGGTAGTCGTGTTGGACGAAACCAAACAACTGTAATGCGGATATGTGAGCCCTGGATGCAGGAGGGTACGACGGACCGACGTGTTCGATCGCATCCACCTCAGTGCACCACTTCACGTGATGACAGGAACAATGTGCGCATGACAGTGACGGATCGCTCAGTCGCATCACGAACCATAGCACAGCACATTCAGTCTGTAACGCATCATCCAGTGTCTGCGTGTACTATTCGACGCCGTTTACAGCATAGTGGTCTATCCGCAAGACTTCCATTGCTTCGTCTACCCTTGAGGCAGAACCACAGACGTCTCCACCGCCAATGGTGCGATGAAAGAAGGCTGTGGACGGCAGAATGGAATGAAATTGTCTTTACTGACGAGTCACGCTTCTGTCTGCAACACCACGATGGTCGAATTCGAGTCTGAAGACACCATGGAGAGAGGATTCTGAACAGCTGCGTTATGCACCGCCACACTGGTCCTGCACCGTGTATTATGGTATAGGGCGGTATTGGATATCACTTTCGCACTCCTCTACGCATTGCCGGTACTTGAAACAGCCAGCGCTATAGCTCCGAGGTGTTGGCGCTAGTTGTCCTTCCTTACCTTCAGGACTTTACCTCAGCCAAATTTCAACAGGATAATGCGCGACCACACGTGGCACGCATTATCCAAGGGTTCTTCGTCAATCGCCATATTGAATTGCTTCACTGGCCGGCTCGCTCTCCGCATGTTTCGCCGATAGAAAACATGTGGTGCATGGTTGACCCAGATTACATCCCAAGCTGCCACACCAGATCAAATTTGGCAACGTGTGGAAGATGCTGGTTCTGTTGTACCCCCAAAACACATCCAAAGTCTCTTTGAATCAATGCCGAGGCATGTAGCAGCGGTGATCTCCAACAATGTCGGCTACTCTGGCTACTGTCTCTTAAAAGAACCACACTTAACAGAATTCTATAAATTTAATCATTTGATACTTGGTCAACATGTTATCTACTAAATAAATTTTGTTGTGATATCTCTTTTCTTCCTTGGTGTTGCAATTTGAGTGGCCAGCAGTGTACTAAGATTGAGAAATTCAGTATTGAATGAGCATTAAATATATGCAGCTTTTCACAGCAAATAACATCTTATATAGTAAATTAAACGAAACGTAATGTCGCAATTAGTATATGCGCTGTTGTAAAGGATAATGTAGTGTAACAATATATTTCTAGTTCGTAATAATCAGTGAAAAGAAAAAGACACTATAGATAGAAATTTCAATCTAGTTATTTTCCTATAAATTAAAACAAATTTAATGCTACTTAATTTTAAACGTCGAAATTCTCTTTTTCTTAAGGGTCAAGTAAATATTTCTGTCAGGGCTTGCGAAAATCTATAATGATAGTTTATCAATGAAACTCTTCTTCGATAACTATATTTACGATTATGCCTTTTCTTCCTAGCTTAGGTTAGCAGAAATGTTCCAGGCTATTCAATCTTCAAAAACTCAGTTTGGATTGAGAGATGCAGGAATGCGAATGGCATCTTTAGCCGCATGTGCTGTCTTTCTTCTATTGCTGAGACTGAATATTATGGGCGCTCAACTTCCAGTTTTTACAAAGTATGTTGGTTTCAATTTCATTAAATGCAGCTTATAACAAAACTAATTAAAATTAATTGCTTAACTTACTTAGTTTACTAATTCAGAAGTCAAACAACAAAAATCAGCGTTATATTTACCAAATTTTCACAGGACTAGTTTCGATGGTTTTACCGAACCATCATCTTCAGCTGCAAAACCGCAAATGAACCTGGTTCATTAAATATGCTATCAATGCTAGCTGGATGTCTACCGCTGGTGTACGCAGTTTACATACATCAAAGGAAAAGCAATAGCATATTTTGGGTAAACATTTTATTCTTTGCTTACTTCAGGAGTACAGGTAAATGCTTCAGAAGTCAACTAATGCTGATGTATTCATCAATACAAATTTAAGCTAATAATTTTATTTGAGACACATAAAGGTCTTATCAATATGAAGTTAATTCGTTTATTTGATGCAGGAATGTGTTGTGCTTTGAAGCAAATAAATAATAAAATTTCCTCATTTTCGAATGCATACTTAGCCTATAGAAAGAAGAGAATTATCCGGATTTTACAAACATTCTGATGGACTATGATCTCAGTTATTCTGGATATCTGAAGTTCCCTTATTTTGATAAGATGTGCAACAAGCAACGTTATTAAAACCAATTCATTACACAAGGCAAGTAACCTGGAGCAATATAGATTTCTTTAAGAATAATAAAGAAAAGTACAGAATTCATTTTCTGTAATGACTACAGAGAGCATCTTTAGAAGTTTAGAGCAGAATGTTTTCAATCGCTCCCAAGGAAGGTCTTAAATGGTAATGAAGGCATTGGTTACTAACACGTCTTGAACTTTTGTATTAGCATATTTTTCTTCTTCAGAGAGAAGTTTTAGAAGAATTCTTCGTGTAATTTTGTGTAATCGATAACTACCGCTATAGATGCCAACAGTTAACCAGTGAAAACACGAGAGAAATTTTCATCGCAGAATGCGAAGCAGTTTATTAAAAAGAAATTAGAACTGTTTTTAGTTATTCCTCTCACTCGCCATACCTGGTTTTTGCTTGCTGTTAATGATTTCCTTACATGAAATACCATTTTGAAGTTCACCAGTCTAAGAAAATATCAGAAACTGAAAAAGGGTAATGATATGATGAAAAATAGATTTCTAAAACCTAATATATATGACCTATCTAAGGTCACTGTGCTCTTTAAAATTGTATTCAGATGGCCTCAGATCTAGATTAATTGCATGAAAACACGTTTTCTGTTTATGGTACCTCTGAAAAGCAAAACAACTGACGTCTCTTAGCACGACCGTTCGCCCATATCTCCTTCTATTCTTAAGAAGCTGACATGGCTAACCTTCCGAGCGCAGGTGATTTGGCAGAGCTTGGGATATAGTTTAATGAGTGTATATTATGGGACTTCAATTTCTGCTGGAGCTTCTCCTCTTGCCTAATATAGGATAGAACGTCTTAACGAAACGTGTATTGACCTCACAGTAGATTTTATTAACAATTAATAATCATTTACATGCACGAAGCAATTCAGAAGATATAAAAACATATTAAGTGTAACATTAGAATGAATGCATGTAGAGATTAAACAATAATAAAATTTCTTTCTTCAGTTTTAGACTTTTATGAATTCCCTCCTGAAACTTTGTATAGGCATTATGTGTTCATGTACTTCATGCAATTACATTAATTACTATTGTAATCCAATAGATTTGACAATCCTGCGGCTGCAGCTGCAACTCCAGCTCGTCAACTTACGATGCACTACTTAGTAGCCTTGAATAGCTGGTTGCTGTTCTATCCTTGTGATCTCTGCTGTGATTGGACAATGGGCACCGTTCCACTCGTGGAGTCCTTCTCAGATCCGCGCAATGCAGCAACTATGGCATTCTACTTAATTTTTGGAGCTATGCTGTGGACCAGTATATGGGAAGATGACTCCAGATCAAGAACTATTTTAATGGTAAGTGATATTGTCGCCATTTTCACAAAATATATTATTTGTTTATTTTACATGAAGGTTTACTTATTACGTTTAAAAACAACAGATGTGTGTTAGAAAACATGTTACGAATAGGCCTCTTACCCTTACACCTCATAGGAGGTAGAGTCAAAATTCAATAATTTAGCACCCAATGGTTTGAAACAGCCGATAATCCGGCATCTACACTGGTGTGCAAAAATTAAAGACTAAACCATTTTCTCTATATAATATTGTGCAAAAGCTTTCCAAATCAACACAAATAATACCGTAAGATAACCAAGTCGTAAGAACAAGGGTAATGTAAGCAAAACTTCGCAAAGAAAATAAAAAGGATAAATAGGAACATTATTGAAAATGTAGTGGAGCACAATTGTGACAGAAGACCGAAACATCCATATGGCAGGTGCCCAGAAAGAAACATCCAGCCTTTAGTAGGTGAGCCCTCGAAGTGATAATTAGGAGAACTAAATGGACTAAAAATATGATCTCGTTGGATTTCCAGACAAGCATGAGGCTTGAAAAGAAAAGAAAAGGGCATTCCTCAAAGAGCTGCGTGTGTAAGCGTTTTTAAACCTGGCTTTGGATTTGTAAGAAATCTCTTTACGTTTCAGAGGGCAATGGATGTAATCCTGACACTTTCAGAAGAAGATGGTCTCTAAATGAAAGGTGACTTTTAAAATATAATATATCACATAATTGTAACTAGTAATACTACTAAGCATATTGATAATCTAAGTTTTGCTCTGTTAAAAGAAGCGAGTTTGAAAATGGATGTTGAGAAATGTAAATTTGCGTCTAAAGAACTTCATTATTTTCATTACAAAATATCATAAGAGGGATTGAGAGGGAAATTAATCAATAACTGCAGTTTTATCCACCGCTGACTGCTGTAAAGAAATTAGCGTCGCTTTTTATCTTTATGCTTATACCATAGGACGTTCATTATAGACTTCACGAAAATTTCAGAAATTGCTAACTTTAAAGAAAAACATGTCCACGTTTACTTTATCAACAAAAGCGAATACAGCTTTTGAGAAACTTTACGACTGCTCTGATTCAAGCTGAAAGATCGAAGGAGTTATGCTAATAATAAAACAAAAAGCACAAAATACTTTCCTTACACATCAAATTATTTTTACAAGCTTATAGTGATTTAATAATAATTATTCTCACGAGTAATTAAAATTAGTACTGAAATTAACTCCTGTAAAAGAAATTCTTGAATAAAATCAGAATGTTTCTCAATGCTCAACAGTTATTTCCAATTATAAATATTACCAAATCCTTTTGTTTATGAAAATCTTGTTTGCTTCTAGAATTTATGCAGGTAAAATTCTGTGTATAAAGTGCAATCACTTGAATTTTACAAGTTATGTTCGAAGTTGAGCAGTTTGATTTAGAATTCTTTAAAATTAAAATATATATATATATTCCATGAATGTGTGATAAGCACAACAAACTGTCTATTTTGTTACATTCGGGGTAAAAATACAAGTTTCTTTTGGAAGCAACATTTTAAAACATACTTGTTTTGCTCCATGAAGAAATGATATCATGTACTTTGAAAAGAAAACTCCATTTGCTTTAAATTAATTAAATCTTTAAATGAATTTTGTGTAATATTGAAGTTAAAAAAACTTTATTAATTTTGCCGTCCCAGAAATTCATTACCAGACCAAAACTTTCTGCACTTAATTATTGACTAAAACAAGAGGTAACGTTTTCATGCAAAACAATTATTTGTGTGCAGTTAGATTTACAACAGCATAATATATTTTGATTATTTAAAGATAATTTGATTTTGAGAATTTGTTTTTAATATTTGTTTGCTATTCTTATTTCTTAATTTGTTTTAATTGTATAAGACATGTTCAGCTAATAAGGTACTTTAGTTTCATTACTTATATTTAGAAATACCAATAAATTTTGTAGCATTAAGTTTTATAGGATTTAATTTGATGTGAATAGGGACTAAGCCATACTATCTCTAAAACAGATGCTGAGGATTTTCTTTAGCCATATTTCTTCAGAAAATGCTAATATAAAATAGTCTTTAAGCAGGGTTTTAATTTCGCAAATATTCTGTAACTTTCTGCTGTTACTGTTCAAGATCTAAGAATAGTAGTGTCAACAAAAATAGCGTTGTTAACATGTTTAAATAACATGTTTAATAAAATGTTAAATAACATGTTTTTAAACTTCATTCGGTTACTTTTCAATGTATGTTTAATTCGGAATTCTGCAATTCACAACAAATGCATTTCTCTATTGCAGGGTGCAGCATTTTTAGCTTTTCCCTTCTTGCCTGCATCAAATTTATTTTTTCCTGTCGGTTTTGTGATCGCAGAAAGAATACTTTACACACCAAGCATGGGATTCTGTTTACTTCTGTCTTATGGATGGAGCCTTCTTCATAATAGGATGTAATAATCCTTTTTCAATTTTTCTGAAACTTTTTACCCAATATCTGCATATTTTCATTTTACCAACATTGCTAATAATACTTTAATTCTATTTCTTAAAATGTGTGACATACAATATAACCTCATAACCATGGACAAAGGGGAGGACTTGATGTTAGGAAAGTAAAGCGTTAACACACGTCTAAAAGGTATTTTTCAATAATTGGTTTTGAATTAAGTAATAAAAGTATTTGCATTAAAATTAGTATTTTGGAAAAATCAATTAATTGAAATAATTGAAATTTCGAAAAAAATCTAATATTCTAAAAAGAACATCGATTCTAAAATGCCGCCCTGTGTAACCTGTATACGAACCCTTTTTTTTTAGAAAGTCCTCCATAAAGGGATCCCTCTCCTTAGGCAGATAGCCCTCGAGTGCTTTGCCATAATTAAATAAACCAAACCAATCTAAAATGGTCTCAAGATTTTTAATAAACATTTTTTTTCTTTTCTTTCTTTTTTTTTTTTTTTTTAATTTTTATTTTCGAAATTTTTTTTTAAAAAAATTTATAAGAATTATTTATATATATATATGGGCTTAATAATGAAGTTAGGATGATTAATAATAAACAATGAGAGCGTACATGATTCACATAGAGAAAATGCCGTCCAGGAAAGCCACTAGCAGGAACAGAAACAACAGTACATAGCAAAAAATAATGCAAAAATATTGGTAAGTGCAAGACTCAGTGTGCAATATTAAAAGAAAACAGGAATACATCCATAGAATAATTTACAAATACAGTACAGGTAAGAAATAGCATTAATGCACAACACAAAACATGTCATACAGAAGTTAGTCAACAGCATCACTAAGAATGGCCATAGGCCTTTTGATGCTGCATTGATCATTGACATCATAATCATAAATTTTAATCACGGGATTACCTATGGACTCCAGGTCTTCGTGAAATTTTTTGGCCAGTCGATAGTAAAAAGTTCTAATATGATCTATTTTCAGTTCAGTATGTAGTCTGCGATTTCGAACATACCATGGGGCATTTGCAATTTGTCTCAAAACACCATTCTGTGCAGTTTGGAGCCTTTCCCTTAAGGATCTACTAGAATATGCTCACACAGGGCAAGCATAACACGATAATGGACGTAGAAGGGACTTGTAAATGAGTAACTTGTTGTCTATAGAAAAAATGCTGTTTCGAGCAATTAAGGGAATAGTGTATGTTTACGTACTCGAAACTTTCTGGTAATAGATGTAATGTGTGGAACACATGAGAGAGTTTTATTGAGGATCACCCCAAGATAAAGGACTTGCCTGGACCAGGGAATTGACACTCCATAACTACAGGTTTTTGGTGAATTTCTTCTTTTTTGTGAACAGGATAGCCGGAGTTTTTTCCACATTAACCTTAATTTTCCATCTGATCAGCCAAGTCTCTAATGCGTGGATGTGGGTTTGTAGCCGTTGTATAACTGGACTCAAAAATTCACTTTGTGTAAGGATCGCAGTGTCATCAGCATACATTGCGAGTGTTGTGTTGTTCAGAGTAGGTATGTCGTTCACGTAGATATTAAAATAACTAGAACTAGATAACTAGAAGACTTCCCTACGGAACGCCCGCAAGGATAGGCCTAGGTGCAGAAAGTGTTCCTGTGACGCGAACGACAAAGTGTCTACCTGCCAGGTAGGATTTAATTATGTGTGTAATGTGTTAATTATGTGTGTAATGATTTAATTATGTGTGTAAAGTTACACACTCTGGGAGCCCCAGAGTGTGTAACTTGTAAATGAGAGCATCCAGCCAGACACGATTGAAAGCCTTAGCTATGTCGAGGAAAAGGCCACCAGTGACCTTTTTACGTTGCAAGCCTTCACTAATTAGTTCCACAAGTCAATTTAGTTAGTTAGTTAGCCTTCACAACTCTATACAGTTGATGGGTTGTTGAGTGATGACTTCGAAATCCAAATTGATACGGAATGTGTATATCATTGCTTTCAATATGCTGTTTCAGTCTTGTAAGGATGACAGCCTCCACTATCTTCCTTAGTGCAGACAGCAGACTAATAGGTCTATAGGATTCCGGAACGATCGCAGGTATTTGAGGTTTAGGAATTGGTGTGATCACTGCAACCTTCCAACATTCAGGAAAATGCTGCCATTTGATGATGATATTGATAATCTTGGTGAAACGTAGTATAATCTTCCTGGGGAAATTCTTGATCATCTGGTTCGTAATTTTGTCATATCCAGGACTTTTATTTTTCTTCAGAGTTTTTGATGTAGCTACAGACTTCCGACGGTAAGACTGGAATGATGTTGTCTGTGCGTGGGTTTGCTATGTAATTGGAGTGAAAGTTATTAATTAACTGTTCTGTAGGAGTGTCGTGAATGTTGTTAGTGCGAAACTGAGATTCCAGATGCTGAGCTAAAAGTTCTGCCTTCTCAGTTTCAGTGTAGTGGATCCGTTGAGGGCCTTTAAGGGGCGGAATGGAATTGTGGCATTTTGTATACCTTTTAATAGTTTTCCACAGAGAATTGTCATCTGTGGAGAGTGATTCAAGGTACTGAGTCCAGCGGCGTTGTGCACAATAATTTGTGTGGGACTTGACTGCATCGCAGAGTCTATTGAACGTGGCTTTATCCATTGGGTGTCTCGTTCTTTGATACTGCCTTCTGGCGGCATTCCTCCTCTTAATTAACTGACTCAGCTCTTGAGACCTCTTAACTCTTTGGTTTTTAATTTCTTTTTGAGCACTGCTGTGCGCATTCTGAATTGCTGTGGTGAATTCCTTGACCAAGCTGTCAATATCATTCCTCGATTGAATTGTTGGAAGCGTGTACTGAATGTTGTCTAGAGCTTTGGTAAAAACACGCCAGTCAGTTCTGAAGGCTCTTTTGTCTGATGTGGTATAGCTACTGATATCCAAAATTTGTCTAACTGGATTATGGTCAGAAGACAACTCATCTAATACCGTAACATCCAATGGAACATTGGTGTTTTTGAGTAGATAGAAGTTCCAGTGCTGAGTAGATAGAACTGCTGGTTCCAGTGGAACCAGCAGTATACCGTGTTGGGGTGTTAGGAGCTGCTATGCGTAAAGGGGCTGTACGAGCCAAGTTGAGTATGATTCTGCCGTGTGTATTAGAATTATAGCAGTTCCACGCGCGATGCCCTTCTTTCGCGATCATTATATGAGGAAATGATAATGCGCTTCGTATCGATGAAATACGATATTTTTCGCAGTTATGAACAAGCCATATCTATCAACATCCATGCGCGATCTTTATTTCCGCAACCGTTGCACACAGACGTACATTTTCAGTTAAAAAGAGTTATAAATAATGCGAATGTTCAGATTTTGGTATTTTTTAAATAAAAAAAAATCAATTTTGTAAAAATTACTCTAAATGTATCGCGATAATTGCGAAATTTAACATGTTATACGGTCTCCCAGCCCTTACATTCTTATTTAGTATGAATTTATACTCATTATAAAATATGTAACATAAACAGTTTGACTCACGTAAGACAAAAATTTGATGGATATATTTAACTATAAAATTTGAGATACAATTTTCTGAAGTCAGAGAGAAATTGAAGGGCGAAAGATTTAAATTTACATCTAGCGAAAATGGAACATCACTTTAGAAAATCATTTCTGATTTGAATGATAGTGTAACGACTATTTTGTATGCAGATTGTTGTGAAAAGTTTGAATCAGTTAAATTTTGTTTTCAAAAACGTAGATCTCATTCTGAGATTTTTAAAGAATTTACATTCTGGATAAAAGTGGAATGTTATTAAAACTGGCTATGAATATTATTAATTAGTTTCAGCATTTTAGAATTTATAAATATTTTTAATTCTTCCGACATAACAAATGTTACACGATTATATGATTAAAGAATGTCACAAACATGTGCATAATAAAGGACTATCTTTAAATGGCATTAAAAGAAAGCTTTCAACCTCAATTCTTGATCATCCTTCAATCCTGATTAATTTCTTAACTAATCTATCAAAAAGAGTTATAAGTGTAGATTTTTAGTGCCAAAAATTATATACAAATCGCAAACTTTAAATATCTCGTTCTATTTCCAGCATACGGCTATAAAATTTTTCTGCCTTATTTTTACTTTCTTGTACGAAGTGAAGGAAGGATTGTAATCGCGAAATATTTGAGTTGTCAGATTTCTATATACGCATTTTATAGAAATATACATATTTTCTTTCTAAAATTCATTTTGTCTTTTCATGGTGTGTGTGTAAAGTCTGCACGCGCGAACAGAATAAAGGGCTCTTTTCTCCAAAACGGATTCAAACTGGTTTAAAAATAGATTTTTTTGGGACGTCTCTATGTACGTATGCATGTCGCATAACTCAAAAACGATTAGCCGTCGAAATTTGGAATTTTGTATATGGAAGTGCTATAACATCCAGCTGTGCACTTCCCTTTTTCATTGTAATATAGCAGTACAAAAATTATATTATATCATACTATTTAGTATCAAATATTTTTAAGAACAAAAATATCCCAATATTATTTCCGCGCAATATGCTGCTGAAAATGAGTCAATTATAGATAAAATAATAAGAAATTTAGAACCAAAACGACAAAGACATGAAAGAAATGAAATTTAAAACTACTAAATCCCTAAATTTATCAATAAAAAATTTCAAATTACCCATTAGCTCATGTTTTTACAACCTGAAGAAATCCCGAAAACAACAGGAATACATATAAAAGGAAAAGGAATACAATTAAAATCTGATTTAACTTTATCAAGAGGAGGTAGATCAATTGACTCTCTCCTCCTAGGAAAACTACTATGTCTATCTATATATACGAAGAGTTATTACATTATGACCACCCTTCATCTGTAACAATGGGTTCGCCCAGGAACAAATCCATGCAAGCGCGCGGCTGATGTTGAAGTATGTAAAGCGGCTATGCATTGTCTTTCCAAACGTAGCGTCATTAGCGACATAATGGGAAAACC